AGTGTGTTTTGTAGGATTTAATGGTATCTGTCTTTTGTTTGAATGTCTCTACTTAATTTCAGTTTTCGTAACCCCGATGTTATATTGTATGGTTACCCGACTTTCTATGAAATTGTAAATAAAGCAGTTTCCCTTTTAACATTACACAACGTAACACGTTACTTTTTGCTATCTACTGACTGTTGGACTGGTCATATGATAAACTGGTGTTTCTTACCCTTTGACTGTTGACTAATTACGTGATAAACTGTGACACAGTCAGCAATACCAAGTTGTTGTAATTGGTTCTAATCTATCCCGAAAAAGTACAGGTCAGCAAGTCAAATCCAAGGTATGCGTAACTGGGCGTATTTCAATCTATGTGGGGTATAGTCATATATGACAGGCGCTAGTGAACCCGGGATTACTTATGTATGTTATCTGAAGTCTAAAAAAAACCGGCTATGCATGTACCAATAGAATTGATTATGGTTGGTGTATGGACCTTATGATAGATGACGACTGTAGGCATTGTTATAACCGTGTACATTGATTATGTGGGTATGGAGTATAAGTATAACCTATCAAGGACATAGGGTTATTACGGCTAGAGTACGGCTAGAGATAGTACAGCTGGAGACAGCTCGAGGACAGCTTTAGTACAGACCTAGGACAACTCTATCTAGTACGGCTAGAGATAGTACAGCTGGGGACAGCTTGGGTACAGCTTTAGTACAGACCTAGGACAACTCTATCTAGTACGGCTAGAGATAGTACAGCTGGAGACAGCTCGAATACAGCTTTCGTACAGACCTAGGACAACTTTATCTAGTAGGGCTAGAGATAGTACAGCTGGAGACAGCTCGGGTAAAGCTTTAGTACAAACCTAGGACAACTCTATCTAGTAGGGCTAGAGATAGAACATCTGGATACAGCTCGGGTACAGCTTTAGTACACACCTAGGACATCTCTATCTAGTAGGACTAGAGATAGTACAGCTGGAGACAGCTCGAGTATAGCTTTAGTACAGACCTAGGACAACTCTATCTAGTAGGGCTAGAGATAGAACATCTGGAGACAGCTCGGGTACAGCTTTAGTACACACCTAGGACAACTCTATCTAGTAGGACTAGAGATAGTACAGCTGGAGACAGCTCGAGGACAGCTTTAGTAAAGACCTAGGACAACTCTATCTAGTACGGCTAGAGATAGTAAAGCTGGAGACAGCTCGAGTACAGCTTTAGTAAAGACCTAGGACAACTCTATCTAGTACGGCTAGAGATAGTACAGCTGGAGACAGCTCGGGTACAGCTTTAGTACAGACCTAGGACAACTCTATATAGGACGGCTAGAGATAGTACAGCTGGAGACAGCTCGAGTACAGCTTTAGTACCGACCTAGGACAAGTCTATCATGAAGGGCTAGAGAAAGTACATCTGGAGAGAGCTCGAGTACAGCTTTAGTAAAGACCTAGGACAACTCTATCTAGTAGGGCTATAGATAGTACAGCTGGAGACAGCTCGAGTACAGCTTTAGTACAGACCTAGGACAAGTCTATCATGTAGGGCTAGAGAAAGTACATCTGGAGACAGCTCGAGTACAGCTTTAGTACAGACCTAGGACAAGTCTATCAAGTAGGGCTAGAGATAGTACAGCTGGAGACAGCTCGAGTACAGCTTTAGTACAGACCTAGGACAACTCTATCTAGTAGGGCTAGAGATAGTACAGCTGGAGACAGCTCGAGTACAGCTTTAGTACAGACCTAGGACAACTCTATCTAGTAGGGCTAGAGATAGTACAGCTGGAGACAGCTCGAGTACAGCTTTAGTACAGACCTAGGACAACTCTATCTAGTAGGGCTAGAGATAGTACAGCTGGAGACAGCTCGAGTACAGCTTTAGTACAGACCTAGGACAACTCTATCTAGTAGGGCTAGAGATAGTACAGCTGGAGACAGCTCGAGTACAGCTTTAGTACAGACCTAGGACAACTCTATCTAGTAGGGCTAGAGATAGTACAGCTGGAGACAGCTCGAGTACAGCTTTAGTACAGACCTAGGACAACTCTATCTAGTAGGGCTAGAGATAGTACAGCTGGAGACAGCTCGAGTACAGCTTTAGTACAGACCTAGGACAACTCTATCTAGTAGGGCTAGAGATAGTACAGCTGGAGACAGCTCGAGTACAGCTTTAGTACAGACCTAGGACAACTCTATCTAGTAGGGCTAGAGATAGTACAGCTGGAGACAGCTCGAGTACAGCTTTAGTACAGACCTAGGACAACTCTATCTAGTAGGGCTAGAGATAGTACAGCTGGAGACAGCTCGAGTACAGCTTTAGTACAGACCTAGGACAACTCTATCTAGTAGGGCTAGAGATAGTACAGCTGGAGACAGCTCGAGTACAGCTTTAGTACAGACCTAGGACAACTCTATCTAGTAGGGCTAGAGATAGTACAGCTGGAGACAGCTCGAGTACAGCTTTAGTACAGACCTAGGACAACTCTATCTAGTAGGGCTAGAGATAGTACAGCTGGAGACAGCTCGAGTACAGCTTTAGTACAGACCTAGGACAACTCTATCTAGTAGGGCTAGAGATAGTACAGCTGGAGACAGCTCGAGTACAGCTTTAGTACAGACCTAGGACAACTCTATCTAGTAGGGCTAGAGATAGTACAGCTGGAGACAGCTCGAGTACAGCTTTAGTACAGACCTAGGACAACTCTATCTAGTAGGGCTAGAGATAGTACAGCTGGAGACAGCTCGAGTACAGCTTTAGTACAGACCTAGGACAACTCTATCTAGTAGGGCTAGAGATAGTACAGCTGGAGACAGCTCGAGTACAGCTTTAGTACAGACCTAGGACAACTCTATCTAGTAGGGCTAGAGATAGTACAGCTGGAGACAGCTCGAGTACAGCTTTAGTACAGACCTAGGACAACTCTATCTAGTAGGGCTAGAGATAGTACAGCTGGAGACAGCTCGAGTACAGCTTTAGTACAGACCTAGGACAACTCTATCTAGTAGGGCTAGAGATAGTACAGCTGGAGACAGCTCGAGTACAGCTTTAGTACAGACCTAGGACAACTCTATCTAGTAGGGCTAGAGATAGTACAGCTGGAGACAGCTCGAGTACAGCTTTAGTACAGACCTAGGACAACTCTATCAAGTAGGGCTAGAGATAGAACAGCTGGAGACAGCTCGAGTACAGCTTGAGTACAGACCTAGGACAACTTTATCTAGTACGGCTAGAGATAGTACAGCTAGTGACAGCTCGAGTACAGCTTTAGTGCAGACCTAGGACAACTCTATCTAGTAGGGCTAGAGATAGTACAGCTGTAGACAGCGCGAGTACAGCTTTAGTTCAGACCTAGGACAACTTTATCTAGTAGGGCTAAAGATAGTACAGCTGGGGACAGCTCGAGTACAACTTTAGTGCAGAACTAGGACAACTCTATCTGGTAAGGCTGAGGTACGTCTGATAGCGAGACAGAGACCGATACGATCACTGAGGTGACTTGAAATCTATCTAGTAGGGCTTGAGATAGTACAGCTGGTGACAGCTCGTGAACAGCTTTAGTACAGACCTAGGTCAACTCTAACTAGTAGGGCTAGAGATAGAACAGCTGGAGACAGCTCGAGTACAGCTTTAGTACAGACCTAGGACAACTCTATCTGGTAAGGCTGAGGTACGACTGATAGCGAGACAGAGACCGATACGATCACTGAGGTGACTTGAAATAAACTTCCACCCGACCATCAACACTTTGTTCACATATTGACGACTATAAAGAAGAATGCAAAGTGTTCACTTGTCACCGATATAGTTAGGTTTTAATTATGCACATATTTGCAGATCTTCGAAGCGCTGATGCGGTTAATTAAAACCCGCGACTCTGTAGGCACTAAAACATTATTAAATGGCGGTAAGATTTCTGAACATTGAATGTTGATTTGTTACTAACTGTTTGTTCGTCATTGGTCAAGTAAGTCAAGTAACAAACCATTTGGTTCATGCCTTACATATCAACACTCAAAATGGTCTTTCCCAATTCGAATTTATCATTGAACTGTTTCCCGAAGTTGCAAACTGTGTACTGTTTGTACAGACTATACGTACAATAACATATCTCCCTTCTGATATTTGATATGGGAGCCGTACCAACAAAATCGCATTATGCTTGGGATTTAAAAAATCTTACTTACCTTTTCAGACGTATATATATGTGATATTGTTTTAGGGAATTTTTTTCTTTTTAAACATTAAGTCAAACTCCAGGTGGCTAAACACACCGACATGGAATATTGATCAGTTTATTCTCTTTTGTATGTAGATTGTGGAACACGCTTTCCGTTATCACACCCTGCATGAACTCGAGACTTCCCTATCATTTCGGAGGTGTAGGGATGTTATGGGTCGATGGTCGACAATCGTCGTGGTAAAGGAAATAGGAAATATTATTCTTTTAAGATACTACTAGTCATTTAAGTGTCTCTGTTTCATGAACTCTGGTTCATGATAACTTCATAATCACTTTGAAGACTGCAACAGACAAACAGCACAATGAGAGCATACTGAAACGGATTTATCTTTACAGTGAGCTAAGTCTAACTTGCTAATTATTAAAAAAGAATTATCAGCTTCAAAACTATTTCAAATGTAGATAAAGGATAGGGCTACGGCCCTGTCTCGATAACATTGCTTTAAAAACAACGTGACACTTTACACCAGAAGGTAATAAGTGGAACGTAGAATTTGATCAATCGTTATTGAACAATTCCAAAAACAACATGTTTCTTCTATCAGGCAATTTGGTACTTCCACTCTGTACACTACCACTCCTTTCAAAAAAAGACTTCATGCCGACAATGCTTTGTCTTTATATAACCGTCTCGTAAGTAGCAGATCAAGTTCCAGATATCATGGCCGATTAAGTCGACCGTCGTGGGAGTTGTTATCAACACCGTTGCTGTAAGGAGCAACCACGTGCGTGTGCTCAACAGCTGATCGGGATTTATTTACGTCTGGTTTGGACGTGTAGGTGCTATATGGGATATTCCTATCCGGCACACAGTCTAAGGGAGTCAACTCATATAAACGTAACTACTGTGGATTTTGATTGTTATGAAATAAGGATGGAACTTGTGGTTTGATGTGTTGCTTTTTGTGAGTATCGACAAAGACTTTATGGCCAGCATTAACATTTTCAAGTCTATCAGATTTTTTGCTTTTCTCTGAAACTGAAATATCGAAAATTGACGTACCATTTTGTCCGCGTAAACAAAAAGGTCCTTGAATAACCGACATTCTCGGCAGTGAAGATGACGTAATATCACTCAAACAAACAAGTTGAGTGAAGTCTGTCAAGTTCATATCTCAAGCAAGAATCTAGCACATTTTCACGATGTTTTCGAGGATGAGCACAGAGTGAAATTGAATGTGTCTGCATAGAACGCGCTTCTTCAATCGTACAGAGTTTGTCTAAAATAGATACATCTGTGAAAATTTATAATTGATTTCAATGATCGTACACTTAAACCTGCAAAAGGACGGCATGTCAAGTAGGTGTTATGATTTCTATTTAGACATTAGTCGGAATGTTTCAATATATACTGCAGCATTATCCCCGAAATATCTTGTTTCGATGCTGATTTCGGTACCGTCATCTTCGGTCACGACGCACAAGTCACATTTGAACAATTGACGTAAAAATAGATTACCCGCGGACAGTATCTACCTGATACACTCCGTATGTAATGTTATTGCCATTTACAAAGCTACTCTATTTCATAATTATATAATTTCCACATCAAGTCTACCCCTATTTCTATGCAGTTGTGAACAAAAGGTAGAACATATTCCAACATTATAGGTTGATGTAAGCAAACCAAATCTACTAAATTAATGCTTAAACATATCTTGTATGGTTAAGTGTAGGTCTTATAAATTTATATTATAGCTTTTCAGTGAGTATTGAACTGTTACTGCTGGAAAAGACAGTTCGTGTGCTTCCATCGGGTGATTCGAACCATATACCAGCTTCGCGGTCGCGACTCTATCAGCTGAGCTAAAATTCCCTCTAGTACGAAGCTAGATGGCAATTTCACCGTAATCCAACATTTATAACCAAAGTCTGCCACACTATTTCCCACTTTAACAGTTAAGTTTCCTTTTAATCATCATTAATACAAAAAAGTTGTATCATATTTTTTTCAAAATGTATATCTCAACAGCGGAAATCTACTGATGAATTGAACGAAATCGATATATATCGTGTAAAGATATTATTCGTTTTAATGTCACTAACGATTTATTAACCATCAGGAGCATTCATGTAAAGTCTTAGTGTTTTATTAAGGATATATAATGATGTCTGTATGATGCTTCACCTTAGCTAATTATCAATATTTGATTATGTTGATGTTGATTATTTATCCTATTATCCTAAACTTTCGGGAGACAGATGCAAAGTAAAGATATATCTTTGATGGACAATTTGCATATACAAGCTACCTATATACAGGAATACCATGTTTGATCAACGTCATTTTCAAATATTTGATGTCTCCTTATAATTGTGCCCCTGTTCTGGATGGTGTTTCATGTCTTGATTTCATATTTGCTGAATGTATCCCAGATCTTATAAGGACAGGTAACAAACACTTTGGCAAGTCTTCTATCTTTATTTTTAGTGAAATCAACTGTTTAAACTAAAGAGGAGTTTAATAAGCATGTCGATCGCGTATATGCAGAGCTGGAAACCAAGGATATTACAGACTGTTCTATATCAGCAACATCAAAATATAATGAACAAATATCGGTTTTGTCGACACATTTGGATTTTTGTTCCTTTTCACTTGCAAAACAAATCTTGTGAGATACAAGCTACGTTTTGTACCTCGTATAATTTTCGTAAATCCAACTTAATTTACACATGTAAATCATTTCCTAAATTTACTACTGAGTCTGCAGTAGCTGGCATTAAAATAACGTATGATATCCATGTAATTTGTTGTAGTAAACAAGGAATCTCCTATAAATGAGTTGGTGGCCTCGAAATCATGGGACTACCTCTAAATGCTAAGGATTGCACAATGATTTTTAAACATATTTAATTCACAGATTATGTAACTGTTTCAAAAAATTGTCTTTTTTTCAGATGGCCACCGGTTATACAAGGGTTCCACGCTTCAATCAAGGTATAAACTTTAAAATTTTAAATTTGTAACACAATGAAGTCAGATTCATTGTGATTCAAATGATCGAAATACACAAACTAACATTATATTATAAAATTTAATTATGTCTTTCTAAGGATCCCTGTACCACTGTAAAACAATTATACTTTGCTTTGGAACCCTTTTTTTCTGTTCCACGATTACATCTGTGAGAAAACATTCTGTAGGAATCCCATTTTCTGCGGAACTATCTTTTATGCTTTAATGCTTTTTTTTTATTTTTCGTTAAGTTTAATTAAAAAAAAAAAACTTATTTGAATGAACGATGTGATATATAAATAACCGACGAAAAAAATACAGTCAATATTATCGTGTATAAGGTGAAAAACATTTGTCTCACGTTGTTATCTCAAAAATTTTGAGAACACATTAAACAGCTTTACCTGATCTTAAATAAGTAGATATGTGGAAAAAAGAAGACGTTGCGTATTTCTTTTTTCGCGAAAACAAGTAAGAGACCTTTGCTCAAAACACGAAATAGTCTTGCTTATCGATTGATATAACTGGTCGACAAAAAATACATCGGTCAGTTCCGCTTTATTTATTAAAATAAGAATATAAAAGATATATATATGAGCAGACTGGTCGAGGGGTTAACACTCCGGCCTTCCACAAAGACAGTCCGCGGGTTTCGATCCCCGAGGTCGTCTTACCCATCTGCTAACATTAATTCTATACTAGCGGAAAAAAGAAACTGTGCATGCGGAGAATTATTATAGAACATGTATCACCAACTGTATATACATGAACATTCACACACATGACCGAGTATGACACATACACACTATTCGTGTGTCATTGACAGTTTTCGCCGTGCAGTTTGCTCTCTATAGGCGTTGACCAGTTTGCACGTTTTTCTCGTCCAGCCATCCAATTCGACAATGAAATTTAATTTTTCAAATGTTGGGTCACTCTGTTTAGAACAGTGAACAGCAAAAACAGCATTATAACGTTTTAATTTGTGATTAATGCTATGCCGAGGCTGAATGAAAATGACCGCCTCCGAATTATTAGTATGCTTCAAGCTGGTATAGGCCAAGCCGTTGTCTCTACACGTTTTCATGTCCATCGAAACACAATCCGGGATTTGTGGAGACCACATCAACAGTTTGGCCACGTCGGCGATCGACCTCGTGCGGGACGTCCACGTGTGACCTCACGTCAACAGGACAACCATATTCGGCTTGTCCATTTGAGAAATCGCTTCCAAACGGCAAGTTTGACTGCACGGACAATCCCTGGGTTGCTACCGAGAACTGTACGGAACCGATTGCGTGAACGAACTATCCGTCCGCGACGTCCTGCAATCCGTCCAGTTCTTCTGCCACGTCATCGTGTAGCACGTCTGGACTGGTGCAGAAGGCATCTGCGATTTACTAGACGGGATTAGGCAGGCATTTTGTTTACGGACGAGTCGCGAGTCCACCTGGATAGTAGTGACGGCCGTTCCAGAGTGTATCGTCGCGTTGGAAAACGTCTCCGAGACGCGTGTGTGGTACAACGACGTTCTTTCGGCGGAGGCAGCGTTGATTTGGGGCGGCATCACAGCCAACGAGACCACGTCGTTCCATTCGAGCAAGGGCAGCAACCTCACATTACGCTACAGCAGGACAACGCCAGGTCACACACAGCTCGTGTCGCTATGGACTTTCTGGCCCAGCAGAACGTTGACATGTTGCCCTGGCCTGCTGTATCCCCCGATCTCTCGCCCATTGAACACGTCTTGGATGAAATGAATGGCAGATTACGGGCATTACCTAATCAACCGGTGACGTTGGCTGATTTGGCTGAAGCGTTGGTACAGATCTGGAATGCCTTCCCACAAGCATTCTTGAACCGTCTGACATACGAGGTATTAACTTTGTGAACTCAGTATTGACCCCTGCTGTGTTTACGGCACTCCTGAGCGGAACTTATTGATTCCATAACGTGGAAAATGAAATGCAACTGTTAATAAATAACAAATAAATTGTCCCTGAAAACCTTGTTGTTCTACGTCATACACATTTATTTTTATAACACATTTAAGTCATGCACAGATTCTTTTTTCAGCTAGTTTATTTTATTAAATCATTTGAAATATAGTGTGAAAGGAAATGTATTATCCATGTCTATAGAGAAAACAATGCAATCTATATTGATCTAAAATTACCATGCATCAACTTCTAATTTTTAATGGCATTTATAAACATTTATTTCATAGGTGTACCTGGTGATTTGAGGATTGTTTTAATCGGTACAACCGGGACAGGCAAAAGCGCCACAGGGAACACATTGATTGGTAGTGATAAGATGGAATTTAAATCCTCAGCAAGCCGTGAATCTGTTACCAAGGAATGCAGTGTTGCCGAGACAGAAAGATATGGAAATAAGCTTGTGGTAGTTGACACTCCGGGGGTTTTTGACACCGCTATGGAAGATGAACACTTCAAGATCATGCTGACTGAATGTACGTACCTAGCTTGTCCTGGAGTCCACGCTTTTCTCTTTTTGATGAAAATAGGAGACAGAGACATAGATAATAAAGACGCGAAAGCCTTTTGCCTAACAAAGCAGTTGCTAGGCGACAATTTTCTTTCCCACGCCATTGTTGTTTTTACTGGAAAAGAAACACTTGACGCAAATGAAGAGAATTTGGAGGACTTTATGAAAGGACTTTCATCTGAGTGTATGGAGTTTATAAAGTCATGTAAAGGGGGCGTTGTTGCTATTTCAAACATAAATGCTGCAAAGGAAGAATCAGCCAGACAGATTATTGGCAAGGTCAAAGATCTCGTTGAACAAAATGGTGGAAGGAGAAAGTTTTACGAGAACGTGTTGTTCGATGAGAAAAATAATGAGATCAACGAAAGAATGGATCGAATCCTGAATAAAAACAATGCAATTCTTGTCCAGATCAAGCGGACCAATAAAAATATGGAATGCCTAAGAATGTGCATTGTAGATGGCAACCCAACGGAAGAGCAAGAACGACTGTTGCAAAAATTTAGAAAACAAATTGATGATCTTTGGAAAGCAATAGTCGACAGAAAAAGTGCAAGAATAGCGGCCAATAAAGAAATAGAGTATGAAAAGAAGATAAAAAAGATGAAGGTGATTATTGGTGGCGCTTTAGCTGCTGCTGGAACAGTTGCAGTTGTTGGCGCAACGGTATCAAATCCAACAGCAGTCGTTGCCGGTGTTTCCTTGGTTGCATCAAAATTAATGAAACATTAAGCATGTTCATCCTGATAGTCAAAACGCATCAGCAGTTTAATGGAAGTCGACTTTGTCGACAAGGCGAGTTATGCAATTAACAAAAATAATACCCTACACCACAAGTCAATCAAAACTAACATACCACCATACTTTAGATGAATGTGGAACCTTATGATTTATGATCACTTGCTTCCAAACTTTTTAAATACAACAGCTGACATTAGACAAACTCCTCCTTCACCATATATCTATTTCCATTTTTTAATGTTTTCAACATACAGATACAAAGATTTGCATTTTTTCTTTTCTAAATATTTTTTGTTCCGATTCCATTACATTTTTTTCCTTTTCTAACCACTGTGACCCGATACAACCATATTAACATTACCTCATTAAAATTGTACTATATCACAATTGTTACACTATATCAGCACTTTATATCCAAAGCAACACTTTATATCTAAAGTAACATATACTCATCTTAGTTACATTATATAATCACATTTACACCATATATACTGCCATAGTTTCACAATGTGACCATATTTACACTATTTCAGCACCATTTGTCACAATATCATCATAGCCACAATATATACGTTATACGTTACACATTGTTGATATAGCTTCACAAATCACCACAGTTAAAAGTTCTAATCGTGGTGACAACACAAATATGCTTTATCACCATAGTTACATTTCATTACCATAGTTACTCTCAATCACCTCACCACATTAACATGATATAACCATAGTAACACATATTGTCATAGTTACCTTTTTCTAAGCTTGACACCATCGAACGGGTCATTTTGAAGTTGAGTAAAGATATTAAGCGTTTCAAAACCCGTATGGGAGATGTAAAGAAATCTCAGGCATTCCTAAATGCAAATTCGATCAAAGAAATGTTGGTGACCTGAGTGAGATCAAATCCAATATTGAACGTGCTGCCGATGATGATGGACCTCAAGTGTAGGCCCATAAGCGCCACTCTCTTTATTTTCGGTGTTACGGAACAGGACAGGCCTGACTTTATTACAGAAACAAATGACCACGCAGTGGAGACTAGGGTACTGTCGGAAGATATAATTGGTAATATTCAACGTCTCCCACGTAAAACTGTCGGCATCGAGGAACACATAGTCATCGACAGGGAAAGACGAGACCCGTTATTGTTAAATTTACCTCCTACAAAAGAAAGAGCTTGTGCAGAGAAACTCAAAATAAACTCAAAGGTGATCGGATATTCATCTCCGAACAGTTCCCAAAAGAAATTCAGGAGATACGAAGGAAATTGTGGCCACTTTGTCAAAAGGCTCGAAATGAGAGGGAAAATGCAGTTCTGGTGAAGGAAAAACTGTTCATCAATGGTGAATTTTAAGCAGGACCCATATCGGATCCTCCCGGGATCAGGAAACGAATTCCCGGGATGCTGCGACAGACCATGACTCATTAGGACAGTGGTGAGAGTGCTAAAAAGACTCTTAATTTACTTGCATGGAAAATAAACGGCATTGTAGAATATTTTTTTTTTCAAAATTAAATTTAAATTTATAATATTATAGTTCTGACGGAATGATGGATAGCAAATGACTTTCAAGTTGATATTGAGGGTTATTCTACTTTCGTTGTACCTAGAAAACGTACGACACATTCACAAGGAGGTCGGATATTAATCATGATTGAATCTAATCTTATATTGTACTTAATATGTTTCAGTCTGTGAAATCATTTGTGACTCGTTAGTTTCGCTGAATATTAATGAAAATCTGATCACGGAAATAATGTTTACCTAGCATGTGTGTATATTCCACCTCCTAGTTCGTAATTTTATGACATGTACTACTTTAATTTTGTTTTAAATTGGAATGTGGTTCATTGTATTAGTCAACACTCCCGTAAGGGCGACATACTCTTGTTGGAAGACTTTAATAGTCGTACCAGTAATTTATGTGATTTTATCAATAATGATAATGTTCATAACAGTGTGCAACGCCAGCTCTCAAATTTATTTACATATGTCTCAGATGATTATCATACAGGGAGGGTGTATCCTGATGCAGTGGTGAAACACCTTGGTAACCTTATCGAATTGTGTTAAGCTGGTTGTTAGGCATTTACAACGGAAAAGATAAAGATAGCTTCTCAAATGATTACATATACTGTGGTCATAATGGAATGAGTGTCATTGATTACATGATTTTGAGCCCAGCTTTATTTCAAAATATTAGACAGTTAATTTGTTGGCAATTTCAATGTGTTGTCTGACCACGCCCCCTCGCACGTGCAATTGTATACGCGAGTTTCTATGGTCAAGATTACTGATGCAAATATGAAGACAGAGACCGATAGTGAGCGGCCTACATTTATCTGGAATGAGGACGGCGTAGAGCACCTTTGAAATGTTCTCGCCTCGTATCGTGGTGACATTGACGCGTCAGTTGTATTTCCGCAAGAGGTTACTCAAGATAGTATAGATAATAATGTGAGTAAATTTACTGATGAACTGGTTCGCAATAGATCCTGTTCTTGTGCGAACCAATACACGCACCGAGTGCAAGCGTGTGGGTGCAATCGGCGTGTAAATAAACAAGGTAGCTCAGCTACATGTATACGTATGTGTGAAGACAAATCATGTTTGGACTTTAAATTGAAATATGTATAATAATAGTAATGCTTTGAACTTGTTTAATAGTTTTAGGACAGCAGAGAAAGTTGCCAATTAAAATGTAAAGAAAAGAATTTATAAATCATTAGAAGTTAAGAAAAAAATGAATATCAAATATGAAGGAGATATACTGGAATATCTGAAAATATAATCCAAGATAATTGTTCTTCACGAAAGGCAACTGGTCCTCAAATGAGTATGGAAAACATGTATGAGCAATAAAACTTTGTCGTCCGAAACTGTCAATAATTTAGATGAAACAGATAATGATGCAGATATTAATATAATAAGGTATTTTAAATGGATGTTTTCTAGTTGGTAAAGATGTACTGTTGCCTGCATTATGTATAATATTTTATACAATTCTAAATTCAGGACATTCCCCATCGGAATGGTCTGTAGCGGTTATTACTCCGGTTCATGAGAAAGGTGTTAAGGTAATAGGATTGTGTCGCCATTTCTCAGTAGAATTTCTTCAAACTTTTTAGTTGTATTTCTTTGATGTAAAGAAAATTTTCTGACAACAAAAGATTATAGGTTGTCAGAATTTTAACGATTTTAAATGGAAATTTATGTAAAAAGGAGTGAATTTTGAAAAAAAAATGAAACACAATGTTTTGCAAATAAATGTCAATAAAAATGATACTGACATAAATTAGTATTGCATTAATGTATATCAATTTCATAAATGCTGAAATTGTGTAAAATTAATTATCTATAAACGATTAAAAATTGACATTTTATAATAAAACCATAGACACATAGAAATTGTATGTAAGAGTTATCGTTCTTGAACAACTTCACATTAGTGAAATAGGTAGCCGGTTTCCTGTAGTACAGAACAATGGACACATGTGACTCATTGATTAAAAAAACAACTGAATTAATGCCTGGATTGCTTTGAAATACTTTAATATTGAAAGAACACACTGTTCTGTCAATAATGAACATACAATATTCATCAGTTTAATATTAAACATTAGAATATGCGGAAATTATGATACTGTCTCCCTACATTGGATTTTCAACTAGGGATGTACTTCCTATTTCCATTTAGCAATACACTCCTATGACCTTAAGACTGGCCGAAATCATTTCAGAGGAATTAGTTTACTAAATTGTCTGGGAAAGCTATTTACAACTATTTTGAAAAGTAGGCTGGTGAAATGGTCAGAATCTTACAATATTATTACTGATGCACAGTTTGGTTTTCGACCTGGTCAGAGTACTATTGATGCTGTATTTGCCTTACATTCTATCATGACGAAATCTTTTAGCAAAAATCAGCACCTATACTGTTGTTTTGTAGATTTAAGAAAGGCAGTTTACTGTGTGGACATGATCAATTCATGGTATAAACTATCACATTTGTGTCTAAGGGGTAAGCTCCTGAATGTTATTAAGTCAATAAATTCAAAGGCAGCCTATCAGAGCCCGTTTTCATGAAACCGTTCTCATGCTCAAGCATGGATTTTGTGCTCAAGCATGGATTTTGTGCTCAAGCCGAATTTCTTGTTTTCATTATAAATTAATAAAAAAATCTTATTTTGTCATTGGTTTTGAAAAAGATTGAAGCCCGAAAACTGTTTTCAATCTTTACATTTGACTTTTTGATCGTTTGACATGATTTAAGCGAGTTACAAGAAAGTTGCTATGAGCACAGAATCAATACTTGAGCATGAAAACGGTTTCATGAATACGGGCCCAGGTGATTTTGCTAACGATATCGATTTGATGTCAGGGGAAATTTGTCCATAACACTATTTTCTACATATGTAAATGATTCTGAATCCTTTTTATTCTCGAAATTTAGTAATCAATATAATTTTGGGGAGTGAAGTCTTTTTCTTATGGTTTATGCAGACGATTTGATTTTGTTTTCTGAGACCGTCGAGGGTTTACAGGAGCTGTTAGATAATCAAGCTATGTTGAGCAATGGCAATTGACTGTTAATATAGATAAGACAAAAATCGTCGTATTTCGAAAAAAAGGTTAACGTTCACGTGTTGTGATCAATTTACATACCTAGGTGTTCAATTTAAGTACAATAATAAGTTCAATAGTATTCAGTAACAATGATCTGATCAGGGGCTTAAAGCAGTGTTTGCTTTGTTGTCAAAATGTTCTAATTTAAGTCTTACCTGTAACACCATGCTGATTGTATTCGATACGTAGGTAAGAAGCATAGTGTTTCATGCTTGTGAAGTATTGGGATCCATAAAAGCATTAGACATTGAGAATGTCCATTTTTGTGTAGGAAAGTTCTAAAACCTTTTTAAAAAATCTGCCTGCAATGTTATGGTCTATTTTGAACTTGGTCGTTTGCCTTTAGAATATGTAAGAAAATAAAGAATAATTAAGTCCTGGTTTAAGTTATTTGACTCCAAAAACTGTATTTTGAATTGTGCATATGAATTTTTATATAATAGGACCACAGGTACATTTACATGTTCCAATTGGTTAAAAATATATTGTTCGCTTTAGGCCTTGGTGATGTATGGATAACCAAATCATCACTCAATGTCAAAGTAATTTTGACCAGGGAGAACAATATTTAGGTCTGTAAGAAGCTTCATTTAAGTGTATTT